AAGGGCCCACCAGCACTTCAGCTTTCTTTCCCACACTCAAAGCCGTGGTTCAGCTTGGAAAGTTTTGAAGATGCATTGGGAGGAAATGCACTGGGTTCAAACTTGGTTCACGCAGCTGTAGCACAGAGGGGGTGACCAAGTGAAGGGTCTTAGCGACAAGAGTGCATGCTGCGGAGAAGGGCGTGGCGTTGGACATGTTGTCATGTTGTTTGTGGTGAATCATCGCAATACACATGTGTACAGTTTGGCTCAAGAGCTGATACGGACAGTGGGGTTTCTGTCCTACCCAGTCCACCCTTATAGCCGCCACCTGGGCGGTGTCCAACTGTTCGGTGTCAGTGGTTGCTGCGGCGAAGGGGGTAGCGTTAGAAGTGTTTTTGTGATGAGTTAAACATTTTCCTGTGCTTTGCTTGCCTTCACATTCTTCCACCAATATTTTTTGAATCCTGCAGGAAGCCGAGCAGAAAACATTTCAGTTCCGAAAAGATATTGCTCGAAGCCTTGCTCCGGGTCTGGCTACTATATTTGATCATGCCAGGCCAGACGATCAGCTTTGAGGTGCCCAGCATCGTTTGGGAAGAAGGTCGCGCCGCCTGTGCCGCGGTGGTGCTTGCAGGCTCTTTGCGACAGCTGTGTGCGAAGCTTGGCCAAAGCTTAGTGTGCAACTGGATTGGTGTGCGAACCCGGTGTTGTTGTTTTGAGTTTTCATGCTCTTGACTCATCATTTTCTTTCCATATAGTGAATCTTGGCCCCACGTCGAAGACTTGCGCGGCTTGATGCAAAGGAACGAGCATCCTCACATCACACTGGGAACTGCAGTGCGTGTGAGCCCCGTTGTCAGCAATGAACTTCTTGCGCGGAGGGCGGCCACCCATGATTTGCAGATGGGGCTTCAGGCCGATTGTTTGGCTTTGCTCAAGGGCTGGAACGATTGAGTGAATTTTTTCCAGCTTAGCCTTTGGCTCATGACGGACGGCTCGACCGTTTTGCCCAGACAGCAACACACAGAGACAGAGAGAGAGAGAGAGAAAGAGAGAGAGAGAGAGAGATAAAGAGAGAGAGATAGAAAGAGAGAGAGAGCGAGAGAGAGAAAGAAAGAAAGAAAAAAGAAAAAGAGAGAGAGAGAGAGCGAGGGAGGGAAGGAGGGAGGAAGGGAAGGAGGGAGGGAGGGAGGTAGGGAGGGAGAGAGCGAGAAAGTGAAGGCACGTGACCTCAATTCAACAGTGGGCGATTTGTCCAAGGTACTTGGTGGATCCCCAATCCAAATGAAGTAATTAAAAAGACACCGACATGGTAGGAACATGGCAGAAACAACAAGGTGATTGGGTGTTTTTGCAAAGATCCTTTGAACGGGGGCCTTGTTCGACGACCCTGTTTTTAAAAATATTTTGTTTGGTCTCCATCGCTCGAAAAAGATGGTTTTCTTGTTAGGCTTGGCTGCAACAGTTGAGCCTGGGACAATATGCGTCGCAGCTGGGGCATTGGTCTCAAAAAATGGGCGCAGCCACGCCCGAGGAGAAGACTTGCCTTGTGCCGGTTCGAGACCCAAAAGGGCCTCCTAACAACCATTCAGTTTCTTGTGTCTAACAGAGAGGAAGGAAGGAAGAAAGCAAGGAGGATAAAAGACAGATCTAGAGGTCCAAGGACAACAAATAAAGGCAAAGGACAAACAGAAAAGAGAAAGGTTTGTTTTTGTGTTGCTTGTTTTCCTTCCTGCTCGTAGCAAGGCGTAGTAAAGCGTGTCTTAGGTGAGTGAGTCAACCTCGGGAGTCTGGAGCATTGCAAACATTGGATCGGCCGTGATGACTTTTGTAGCAGGAGCTTGGTGAGTTTGCTGCGGAGGCAGCGGATGCTGTTGAGGATGACCAAGATTCCAAGGAGTGCGTGACAGTGCGTGAACCAGTCTTCATTGATAGTTTGTCACTGCAGTTTGTTTGCACCTCGTTTTTTAATGTTACATTTTCCAAATGGTCACCTGAACATGTCGATTCAGTTCGCTTTCAGACCATAGCTGACCGAATAGCCATGGTAAACATCATCACTTCACCCTGTGAGGAACGAATCGCAGAAGTCTTGCAGAAGGCAGTCCAGCGGCCCATCCATGAGTTCATGCCTCGTGGATTCCAATCTTAGATCCCCTTGGTCCAATTGCGATTGAGACTAGTGACTGGTTCGGCCACCCTTGTCCTTGTGGGGGAGGCAACTGGCTCTTGGGCTTGCACCCTGTGCGTATAAATGGCGTTTGCAAGTTCGAAGGGTGTTGCCTTGTTCAAGCGATGCTAGTAGCCGCAAACTGTTTGGCAGAAGCTGGCCCAGGCTGGTGAGCCCACTGCAGCTCACAGGGGTCTTAGAAGGCATGTTGAAGGGGCAGTGAGCCTTGGTGCTTGAACCGGGCAGTGCGGCGTTATTGATTCAGTTTCACCTTGACATGGACAAAGTCTTGCAGTGGACTTCTGCCAAAAGGGTTCTCTCCTCTCTCTGGAGCAGATGACAACAGCAATCAGCAAAAAGAACAGAGAGAAAGGAAAAGGACAGAAAATGAACAGAAAAGAACAGGAAGGAAAGGAAGGAAGGAAGGAAGGAAAGAGAAAGGTCTAAAGGTCTGGTTTACCCAAACATCTAGGAACCAAGTCAATCATGCGAAGAGCCCTAAGCTTCTCTTTGTGCTGGCGCGCCCTAGTAGCTGCTTGTCAGCTACTGGCACCTGCCTTTCTAGCCTCTCCTCACCCTTTGTGTGACAAGCACTTTTGCACATGGCAGCACCCTCGCAGGGCGCTAAGCAGAACATGCCCAAGAGTGAGTCAACGACTCAGTGGTGGATGCTTGCCAAAGACGAGCCTTCTCAGCTATTTTCTCCAGGCATCAGTTTGTATGACACACTTGTCCCAATCATGTAGGACTGAAGATGGAAGTCAAACATACAACATATATTTGTAAACAATCAAGTTGGGATGAGGGCTCAGCTCCAGGCACTCTAGGCCCAAAATACCTAGGTTGGCAAGAACAAAACAGCTAGAAAGCAACGTTTGTAGGTCTTCCTTTCACTCTCATGACTTCGCTGTATCACAAAGACACCTGGAACTTCTGAGGCTGGAACTTCTGGCTTCACGTGCAGTCCTGGCGATGCTTTGCGCGTGGCTCTCAGCTTCAAAGAGTTGACCCGTCATGGACTCAGCGGCAAAGGAGCCCCTAGAAACCCAATAGCAAAGGGACTTTAAGAGCTATGGCCCCAATCATGGACTCCATGGCGAGACAATGACAATGAGTCCATTGCGAGAATGGCGCTCCAATTGTGAGGTCCCTTTCCAGGAGAACTCTGACATCCAGGTGGGACAATGGTGTTGATGTGAGAGAGACAGAGGAGAAAACCAGAACACCTGAACTTCAAAGGTCTTGGGCTTTCTACAGGGAGAACAAATTATGGAAAGGTATGTTTCTCTTTTTGTGGTCTGCATGTGTTGACCCGCCAGCACAGGTTGAGGGGACAGAGGCTTGTGTTCATGCATAGCCGAAGAAATCTCCGCTGAAGTGCTTTCTCTCTATCAGGGTGACGGATAGGGTCAGGCTGATAAACGCATGGGTGGCTTAAATTTATCAAGTTGATTCCATTCGCTGTTGGGAGGCTTCTCTAGAAATGTCAACTGATGGCTCCCATCAGTATGAAAAAGTCACGCCCTCAGGGTTTTGCCGGTCGGAACTTTTGCACAGACAGGAGCTAATCAGCTAATCTACTAGGGGCCAAGAAGCGACTAGTAACAAGTGCATCGCTTCTAGTAACAAGTGCCTTACTAGTAGTAACAAAGAAGCTACTAGGAGCAAAGGGCATCGCTTCTAGTAACAAAGGGCATCGCTACGAACGGAGCAAGGACGCTACTAGGGGCTCCTGGCCATACTACGAGTAACAAGAAGCTACTAGTAACAAATCTCTTTCGAACATCTCCGGGCCATAATCGCCAAGGCGAAGAAGAACGCATTCCTTTTCAGTGCTCAAAGCGTGAGCGCCTGAGAACAGCTGTTTTTCTCAGACTGAACCAAGAATCTTGAACATAAATGCTGAAGATGCTTGAGTTCTCTTCCTTTCTCACTGTACTTTAATAGCTTTTCGTTCTTCTTTCATTCGCTATGTTTTTCTTTGCTCTTCAGACCTTTAGACCTCTGTAGAAGCACTCATTCCTTTCACAGAGCAGTGGGAACAAGTCACCAAAGGTAGCTAGGGCAAACTCTTGGGTTTGGCCCTTGGGCCCTTTGCTTCGCCGCGACAACGCGGCCCCTGCTGTCTATCCCTTTCCCCACTGCATTGCTAGTGTTCTTGTGCCTGGGGGTCTCCATCCCAGTCCACTTGGCTAATTTTGCATGGGGCCGGTGAAGCTGTACCTGGCCAAACAGGTTCCGACACGCGACTCCATCAGTAGCGGGGGCTCCCAGATTTCAGAGAACAGTGTTCACGCTTGGTTTGCATCCAGTGGTGGGTATGTTCGTCGAAAAAACTCGACCTGTTCGTCCGCTAGAAGCTCCATGTGTTCGGATCCAGGGACAACGGTCAGATCAGTGGACTACTGAGGTCAGATTACTGAGAAGAATTTGCCGTGCGCCAAGTGCTTTCATGATGAATGGGTGCACATGGGACTTGAACAGTGGGTGCTGAATATTCTCAGACGGGTGCTGTTGGCACGTGTGGGACAAGAAGTGGGTATTCCATCCATCCCTTGGAGTGGTAAGTGAGTGCGCGTGCTCAAAACAGCATGGATTTGATTGTCCACTGGTGCTGCTTCGTGCTTCAGCCCACCCAGCTCAAGCTAGGTGTCAAGAATTGTATAGAGCCTGAATACATGCATCGGCGCAACCAAACTCTTGAAACAACATGCAGCTTGCATCAGGTCATATGAGGCTTCTTGGAACCCGAAAGACAGCACTTTGTTGAACAAGAAAGTGGCTTTTCGGATGTTGAAGCAGCTGGGCTGTGAAGTGCATCGGCTTGAAGGTGAAAAGCAGGTGAGACATGACCCAGTACAGCCAGTGCTTTGTTGAGGTGAACTTGGCCAAGCAACCAGTGCTCTTCAAGATGTTGGTCGAACTGGGACATGGACCTCGCCGGAATGAGGATGGTGACCTGGCGGTGCGTGTGAAGGAAGATCGACATCGGAAACCTGAAGAGGTGGTCGCTGCCTTGTCTCAACCTCGGAAGCCGAAGGAAGTGAAGGAAGTGAAGGAAGAAGGCTATCCTTCCGTTGGCCGACCGAGGTGGGCAAAGTGAGAACCAAACAATCTTTGACGCCCAGAAAAACATATTCCCCAAGCTGTCTGTCTGTCTGTCTGTCTGTCTGTCTGGTGCTCTCTGGTGTCTTGTTCACATGGTTCCTCTTCTCAAGCGGCTTTTCTCCACGTCAAAAAGATTTCTACTTCATGTTTGGCTCTTTGGATTATGATTCATGATGCTAATGTGTCACTGTGTCCTACACGTTTTGGGAACAAACAAATCAACATCGAAGACAAGGAACTAGACCAAATCTCAAAAGGATAACTGGCTGGGCGCCATCATTGCAGTTGACTTCATGATTTGTTGCTCTTCAATTACTCATCCTCCTCCTTAAACAGGGCCGCCTTTCCTCTTCTTGGCAACATGCCTGTTTGTGAATGAGGCCTTTACAGAATTTCTATATCAGAACCTCTGTTGTTGTGATCCTTAGAAAGGAGGAACCTGTCATTGTCATGAAGAATGTGGCTCTTTTTAATGGAGGGCACTTTGCTTACCGATATGCACTTACACGATTGAAAGTTGTTTGAGGCCAAACCGGAGTTTTACTACTAAGATTTAAGGCAGACTTGTTGTGACATAGATGCAGCACCAAAGGTGCCATGTGTATTTTTTGGCGTTTGTCCTTCAGGCCGCAGTGCCGGAGAAGGAACTCTCCAAGCCGCGGCGGACTGCTGCCGAACAGCGTGCCTACTTGGACCGGCTGCTGAAGCCACGGGAGTGGGAGGAAGTTCCCAGTCATTTGGGCGAGCGTCTTGCTGAAGTGCAGAGAGAACTCGAACCACGGCGAACTGCTGCAGAGCAGCGTGCCTATTTGGATCAACTTTTGAAACCACGGGACTTGGAACCTCAGAAGGAACTCTCGAAGCCTCGCCGAACGGCAGCGGAGCAGCGTGCCTACCTGGACCAGCTTTTGAGGCCACGAGAGTGGGAAGAAATCGCTGGGATCCAGAATGGATGCGATCCACTCAAGGAGCAAAACATGGACGGTCTTTAGGCCCAAAAGAAAGAAAACAAACGACAAAAGGAACAAACAAGGTTCAAAGGTCCAAAGACCAAAAGATAAAATAGAGGTGTATATAATATATACTGTGTATATATATAGGTCTTAAAGAAAAGTTGTGATCCACTCTAGGAGCAAGTCAAACCACGTCGGACTGCTGCGGAGCAAAGGGCCTACTTAGAGCGGCTTGCAAAGCCGCGGGAGTTGGAAGATGCCTTTGGCACCAAATCTCCGGAGGACGGGTGAAGATTCATTTTACCTACTAGGTTGGAGGCCATCGCTACTAGTAGGGACGCTACTAGGTGGAGCCACATGCCTCTTTCGACGTCACAAACCACCACACCGCACATCACATCACATCACCTATCATCACATCACCTTGCACTCCGCCAGTCAACACTTCCATTCACTAGTCAAACCATCTCATATCCTGTCTGAAACTCTCACCCACTCGCTCTGCCCAACATTACTACCTGGTATTTCCAATGTATTTCATAGTTGCTCAGGGGCCGGTTCGTGAAACATACCTCTTCCATATAGGCCACAATCCCGGTGGGAGCTGTTGTCAATGAATCAGACTCTTCGCAGCCTTGCAAGGAGTCGTCCAAAACGCCAAAACCTCGTTCACCACGCTCACAAAGGGAGGCATGCAATCGGCTGTCACAACCCAGAAAGCCGAAGAAGACGTTTTGAACATTTAGACGATGAAGAGATGGAAGAGATCTTGGCGAATGGGTCAGACACGCCAGCGGTTCAAATCATTCCTTCGATGTTGGCACAATGTTCGCCACGCTTAGAGCGCATTGAGGAGGAAGCTGAAGGCCCTCGGCGCGCTCGAGAGACAAAGGCCAGAGCCAAGGCTCTGGGCCTTCAGGGTCTTCTGCCGGGCTCTCGGGGCCTTATGCGGCACCGGTTTGCCCCAGAAGATATGTCGAGCGAGTGGAAAGCAAGCATCGCCCACGAGGTGCTCCCAAAAACGAACGTAATGAGCTCAGCCTAAGCCCTGATGAGCTGAATCAACTCTCCAGTTTCTTGGCAGCTGAGGGCAGAGATGCGGCTCAACGTGAGGCCATGCTGAGTGACATCGATGCTTTGTACAGTCAACTCATCAGAGCTGGTGCTGAGCCGGATCCTTTGGATTCCTTAGAGCTGGAGCCCTTGGAGCCCTTGGAGCCCTTGGAGCCCTTGCAGTTGGAACCGATGCAGGATCCCGTGCAAGAGCCGCTGGAGACAGAGAAGCCAGTGGAGAAGCCGCCAAGCTTGCCCGAAACTGAGCCGACGGCCCAAGTAAGCCAAAGGAACGAGTGCGAAGGCTTAGACTTGGGAGATGGAGAAGAACTCCTCACAGCTATTGGTCAGCTTTACTCGCAAATGATGCAAGACAGCGTCGCGAGGCCCGAAATAGATCCGGACACCACAAGCGAGTCGAAGGAGGTGAGCCACTCGAGCCCCAAACCGAACGAGTCCGACAAAACGCCGAGCTCGGAAGCTTCAAGCGATGATGGCGAGTTGTCAAGCTTGCTGGAAGAAACTTGGCAATGCTCCCTGCTCCCCCCTACTAGTAGCAAGAAGCTACTAGGTGGAGGCCATCGCTATTATTTGGAGGCCATTGCTACTAGTAACAATAGAGCCCTTTTTGTTTGGCGATGCTCCAGAAATTAGCTTTGCTCCGCGCTCTCCATGCTTCCAGAGTGTTCTTGCTCATGCAGTGTTCTTGTTTCTTTCATGCTCAGGAAGTCCTGTGGAGCGCTCTTCTTCTATCACGAGGAGGTTTACAGATGTCGGAACTCCAGAAGTTGCTGTCCTTCAATTTGCTGAACCGCCTCCCAATCCCAAGCGATGGGCCAAGTGCTGTGCCGCGGAGTCTGCGGCAGCGTCTATCGACAGAACTACCAGAGCTGTATGAGGCGCTCAGCACCAACAAGGTATCCCAGGAGCAGCACGTCCTTCGCCAGTAGGTTGGAGGCCATCAATACTAGGGTTGAAGATATCACAGGAGTGGCACCTGTTTCATGACTTTAACGTCCTTACGCGCCATGATCAAACAAGAGATCGTGCTTGGACAAAGGGGACCACAAACATGTCGGGATATTGTGCAAGACGAGCAACCAGTTGACCGGTGACGATTCGTTGATCTTCAGGAGATTTCATGCCAAGAAGCCTTGCCACTGCTTCGGAAGGCACGGGATGATTTGCTGAGTTCATCAATGGTCCGACCTCCAGCGGCTTCTGATGCCCAAGCCAAGACCAAGCGAGCGACGAAAATACGGGGCTGATGCATGGGCTCTTTAAATCAACTGCTTGCCCCTTGTCCCCCTTGTTGTTTTTCATTCCAACCTACTAGCGATGGCCTCCAACTGGAACCCTCCAAATGTTCAAGAATTAGATTCTTCAATCTTCGTACCTTAACTTTTGCTCTGCATCGCCTGGGGGCTTCCCCACACGCAGAAGGCCGTTTTGGCTAGTCTTCTTTCCCTTAAAGGTGGGTGAACAGTAGCCCCTGGCATTACTACTAGTAACAAGAAGCCTACTAGTAACAAGGGCATCGCTACTAGTAGCAAGAAGCTTCTAGTATTTCAGGTGTCAGACTGACTAACGTCGAGATGAACATCACGTCGCTCCTGAGGCTCAGCCTGGCAGCAGAGCCTTGTGCCAAGCTCTTTGCCTTGGTGGGCACCGACACGAAGACGAGCGAGACACGAAGACGAAGGGCGAAGGCAAACAGCTTGGAGAACACCTGCCTCCTTTATTCAGGTGAGCTACTAATAGGAAGCTCCTAGCTAGGACGCAGGATAGCGGATGCTTGTTCAAGGAAGCTCCCGCCCTCTCGCACTGATCATTTGGCTCCTAGATCAGGGAAACTTGTGTTGTGTTGCTTGCAGGAATGCCAGCAAGGTATAGTTGGCTTTGGGACCCCAAGCTGAACGCGTGGTAGCAAGAAAGCTCGCTTGCTACTAGTAGTCATGGGGCTGTTTCTAGGTTAGCTACAGTAGAACTCCATGTCAATTGGCCAATGGCTCCGACCGGTTCCATCCGCGGCCAATCCATATGGGAAGGTCTTTTCTTTGTGTTCGGAACCACTCCCGAATCAAATGCCACTGTCTTGAAGTCAGAGCTTCGACTGTCATAAAATCAGTGGGTCCCCCTTTTTTTTTCCCGAATCTTCCCCCAGGAGCCTTCATGACAAAAGAAGTCATGGGACTCCGAACATTGCCACTTGCAAGCCGGGGTACAGGTCATACGTAGGCAGCTTCTTCGCAACTCGGCCGAGCTAAACAAGGAATGTGAAATGAACTTCTTTGCAGGTGGAGGAATGCATTGCAACATCCTCCACCTAGTAGCTTCTTGTTACTAGTAGCTACTTGTTCCTAGTAGTACGGCCAGCAGCCCCTAGTAGCATCCTTGCTCCTAGTAGCGATGCCAGGAGCCCCGTTCGTAGCTTCTTGTTACTCGTAATGCTAAGATCCAAGAAGCTTGTTGCAGGTGGAGTCCGACTTCACCCCCCTATCCTTGTGCCAGGACTGCATCAAGTGCGCCCAATGAGTCCACCTGGTTCTCTGTTGCCAACGGAGTTAAGTCACCCAAGACCCAATATCTTCAATAAGATGCTTCTTCTTAGTAGCAAGGCAGCTGAATCCCAGATGCAAGGTGTTTTCACAGCGTTTGGCTTAGTCTTCTTTTCGAGAGGATGCGAAGCCCTACCTTGACCAAATTGCCTCTGACGACGTGTGCGAGGGAAAGTTGAAGGACTACGTCTGGTGCTGAGCTGGCCAGGTGGTGAACTGCTACCAAAAGGAACGGAGCGAGGTAAACATCTTTGATTGCACATTTTTTGGCGTTTTGGGGGGCATGGTAACATCCAAAAAGCATCTGAGTCTTTTCTGGCCGTGAGGTCATGCCCTTGAAGCAGATCATTTTCTTTCGACTCATCAAGCAGCTCTCAGAGGCCAAAGATCGCATGAAGATGTGACGTGTGATCCATCCAATCGACGCACAGCTGGGGTTGTTGGACGGAGCTTTTGAACGAAGAAGATGGAGGCCATCGCTAGTAGGTTGAAGGCCATTGCTACTAGGGGGGAGGTTATTGCTAGTAGGTTGGATGCCATCGCTATTAGATTATCAAAACACTGCCATCTATGTACAGTCATGGCACAGCTAGCTGTGGGAACCTATGCCCAACTCCTCACTCGGGACTAAAGTGCTTTTGATGCCATTCGTTTGCTTCTGATTCTGACCATGTGATTGCTATTCCCTTGCTCAGTCGTTTTCGGTCGGTCCTTGCGACGAGGTGTATGTCAGCATGACGATCGAGGACTTCGAAAACGCTGCATCGATTGTGCTCGGACCCTGGAGCTCTCCGACAGTCCTCCCCACGGTCCTGCCAGTCCTGTCCTACAATGGTCATGGTCATGGATGACTGGATGATATTAAGTCTGAAGAAGCTAGGGGGTATAGAAGCCCTCTTCTATACCCAAGCACCTTCCTTAGACTTCTATTCTTTTCTTCATGGCGCAATCTTAACCAGCACCCACCCTACACATCCAGAGTAACGTCCAGTCATGACCACGATCGAACACCCGTCTTGACTTGTTGTGAACAGTAGACTCAGTAGACCTAGCGGACCCAGCGGACATCGGCAACACATAAACTCTGAATCAAAGCGTCCGATCGCTACGTTCGTAGCGAGTAGCGATGCCAGGAGCTACGTTCGTAGCATTCTTGTTCCTAGTAGCGTCCTTGCTCCTAGTAGCGATGCCAAGAGCCCCTAGTAGCTTCTTGCTCCTAGTAGTACGGCCAGGAGCCCCTAGCAGCGTCCTTGCTCCTAGATCAGGAAATGGCCGAGGGCCTGTAGGCCTGACTCTTGATGTTGAGGCCATTCAACATCGCTGAGACATGGATGGCGAACGCCTCTCGCCAGCAGGGTGCCGGCCTCAGGGTTGCCTTCCGGACAGCTTCTCATGGGTACATTTGGCCTACGAAAGGGGGGGGACTATGGCACTTGCCATTGATCAAGACCACTTCAACACCAAAGGTTCGAATGTCCTTGTCGTTTTCTTTCTTTCGTTCTTTCTTTCTTTCTCTTCCAGTGTCATATTTATCTTTTCACGGCAGTCTCTTGAGCTTCTAGTGTTGATGGACGAACCACAGCAGCGCTTTCAACATTTTTATGTGCCCCTCGTTCTCCCTCTTTAAGATTTGGGACCACCACAGTAAAAAAAGACAAACAAGTTGAAGGTCCGAAATCCTGCACCTCCTCAGAGGTTGCTACATGACCCTTGTCGGTTCAGGATTTTATCCATTAAACGTATGGGACAGGTGTCGGGTGTGTGTCAGACCAGGGATGTCGGACGTGCGGCTGGTCACCACGCAGGCATTAGCATTCAGATCAACTATATGCAGAAGGCAATCATCTTCGGTGCTCCAACGAAGGTGGACATGTTCCAGCCTCAGCCGCTGAAGCCCAGCAAAAAGACATATGGCAGCAGCATTAGCAAACCAACAAACATATTGAATAGCAAAATTCACTGCATCACTAGGCTGTGGGGACACTTCATTATTTCAATGCTTCTTTTTGCGCGATGCAGTTCACTTGCCTTTGAAGGAAGAGTATGAGACAGCCACTCATAGAGATCGGCACCGCTCTCAGCTGGTGTAGCCGCCTCCTTGACACGCTTCTTGCCCTGCTCAAAAGCAGTTTTTCTCCTTTTTGTGGCTCTCGAGGCTACAAGCTGCAACAGGCAAGGGGCTCCAGACAAGAACGCTGACCTTTGAGTTTTTTTTGGGTTGTTGCTTGGAGGTGAGGTGGAGAGGTGGAATGATTTCACGGTATTTTTCCTATTTTTCAGGACTCATTCCTTTGTTGAGCGGGCTGCTGATTGATTTGGAAAGATCAACAGGAGTTTGTCGCAGAAATGAGTTTTGCAGTTCTGCTCATCCTTCAGGCTATGCAGTGTGTGGCGCAGGACTTGTTTGGCTGTTTGGTCTGCCACAGTCACTGGA